TGATCCATCATCCCTGGCAGATCACAACACACGCGCGCCACGGGCCAACCCATGACCTATGCGCATGACTCGCAAAGCCTGGGAAAGCCATCATGATCCCAGGACTCACTCACTCCCTTCAACAGGACGTCGCTTTTCTGATAAATAGCCTGTAACATCCTGATGATGATGATGAGAAACCGCCTCCTGACATTCGTGATGGTAGGAGCAAGGGCAGACTGAGACTGAGAACTGCAAGTGGTTACTGAACTTGATAGTGATCAGAGTCGCGCCCTTTCAAAGGGATCGAAATACGTCGATGTATATGGGGTAGTGCTGTATGTATCACTGGTTGTCAAGCCGTCCAAACACCACCCCGCTCGATTATTCATGTTCATGAGGCGCGGCAAGTTTTTCTTTTTATATATGACAAAACAACTCTTTGTGTGCATCGAACGAGGGTGTTCGAATTATCGTTTGTTTGTTTTTCATCAGATGATACGAGGGGAGAACACAAAAATTAGTATGTAGACAATACAAAAAACGACGTGCAATGCGGACAGAATGTGATGAGCGTGGGGTATATATACATAAACACACAGAGGATGATGATGGGGGGGGGAGGTTCTAGTTGAGATAACCACGGCATTTGGCAGATCCACATAGACATGGGATCTTGTCCTGCTCGAACGGAAAGTGATAATCTAGTATGGAACAGTCAGCAAGGTAAAAATCGAAACGGCAGAGGGGATACAAACCATAAGTAATTTCATCACCAAGTTCAATATCCTGTTTCGCATAAATAACAATCTTCTTCTCACCACTGATCGTGATGATTTTTGCCGTACAGTTAGGGTCACAAGAATGGTTGATCAGCCGCCTTTGATTCGATCCACCCATCAGCTAACCACCAAGTAACACAAAGCACCACATACCCCAGATTCCCTTTCTTAGTAGCATCAACCACAATCTCCTCATCAATCCTAAAAAGATAACTGCTCCCAATCCCCTGCCGCTCATACGCCTTCTCCCTCTTCTCCGCCACCTGCGCCCTAATCACCTCCCCAACATACTCAATAACCATCTCACCCCTCGATATCTTCTCCATCGCATACAACCCCCAATCATGGATCGGCGACCGCCCAAACCTCAAATGCTTCTTCCTCGTCTGCAGCTGGTTAAACTTGAACGTCAACTCACTCGCTGCGCTCTCCCCCTTGGACAACGCAACGGCCCGCTGGACTTGATTGATCTCCTCGAGCCCCTGCGCGCGTCTCCGCGCATTCGCGCGGTTAGACCGCGATGATGTGATGGGCTGCTGCTGCGGCTCTTCGGCCGCAGACGCGGCCTCGACTGATGCAGCTGCAGCGCGCGCTTGGTACTGCGCGACATACGCGGCCTTTTCGGCGTATGTGATCTTGTAATAGCCTTCCGTACGCGCGGAGCCCGTGATGTGTTTACGGAACGCGGGTGTCTCGGGGGTATGGAGTTTCGGTTCGTCGGCGTCAACGTCGTCGTCGGCGGCGGCGGCGGGGAATTGGTACCCACTCAGTGCGAGCTTGAGGAAGTAGACGTCTTCGTCGTCTTGGCATAACCCTGCGTTGTATGGGTCGAGAGGAGGCGTGACTAGGCGTGGACGGGTTGTTGGTGATTGTGAGCGTGACGAACTTGGCGTGATGTGGACTTGCGCGATAGAAGGAACGTCGTAGTCCTCCTCCGTCGTGGTGAACACGACATCCTGAACCGTCTCAAGCGTCTTCTTGAGCGTCTTCTTTGTCGTCGTCGTCGTGGTCGTCGTTGTCGTCGTCTTCTTCTTCGCCGCGCCCTTTTTCGTCTTTGTCGTCGTCGTCTCCACCTCAATCTCCACCTGCACCTTTTGCTTCTTACGCACAGGCATCACATCATGTTCCTGTTCCCGTTCCACACTCCTCTTCCTATCATCCCGCACCTCCTCCTCCGACTCAACCTCCTCATCCACAACCTTCCTACTAACCCTCTTCACAACCTCCTTCCTCTTCTTCCTCGGTCTCTCCCCATCCACCTCCCGTTCCTTCACCTCCACCGGCACCTCCACCTCCACCTTCGGCCTCGCCTTCCTAAACGACAGCCCCTTCAACCCCACACCCCCCGCACTCCCCATCCCCATCCCCTCCACTCCACCCCCACTCAACTTCAACTTCTCCCTCCCAATCGCCTCAACCATCCCCCTCCCCACACTCCCCCTCATCATCTCCCCACTCCCCAACACCTCCTTCACATCCATCCTCAACACCGCCTTGAGCTCCTCCTCAATCTCAGCCTTGGCAGCCTCCACCAGCGCGTGCGCGTCCCACTTTTTGGTGTCGCGTGGACCGGAGGGAGAGCGCGCGGGCGCGGGGTGCACGGTTAGTGGGACGGATTGGTAGGCGAGCTTTTTGGTGCTCGAGTTGGAGAGGACGCGGGAGGCGCGCAGGGCTTGGTCCGGCGTTGTGAATGTTACGTACCACCCGAGGTGGTCTTTGAGGATCTGGGGTGGGGGGGTTAGTAGTAGTAGATAGAGAGAGAGAGAGAGATGATAAATGAGGAAAAGAGATGGAAGGAGTGAGGAAGTGAGTAAGGAAAGGGGCAAAGAAAGCTCGTAAGAACCAAAGCCTGAAAGAAAAGCCCAAACGCAAAAGAAACCCGAAGCCGGAAAGAAAGCCCAAAGCCCAAAAGCAAACCCAAAACGCAAAAGAAACCCAAAACGCGCAACGCACCAAATCGACCTTGAACCCGTCAAAAAACACACCGACATCCTCCTCCCTCACACCGCCCAACAGCCCAAACCTAACATGCTCCTTGCCATTCCTCGCGAGCATCTCAACAACACACTTGTGCCTCTCCTCCCTCTCCTCCCTCCTCTCCCTCTTTCCCTCCCTGCTTCTACTCCTACTCCAGCTCCTCTCCCTACTGCGACTGCGACTCCATCCCCCCCTCCAACTCCTTCCGCGTCCGCGCCCCCTCGACCTGGACCTGGACGCGTCGCGCTCCCCCGACGAACTGAACCGCCGGCCCGCGCGGGGTCTCCACGTATCCCGCACGCCGCGGTAATACGGCGGCGGCGTCGTCGACGCGGGGACGTACGAGTCTACGCGGGCTCTGTCCCTGGTGCGAAACGCGCGCTCGCGCATAGGCTGGGCGCGCGTAGGAACCGGCGGCGCACCCTGCTGCTGCTGGAGGGCCTGTGCGATGTTTGGATGGACGTTGGTTGGTGTCCCGGGAGAGGCGGCAGCGGCCGTGACTGGTTTAGGCGGGAGTGTAGGGTGGAGTTGCTGTGGTTGTGGTGGGGTGCCCTTGCCCTCTGTGCGCGGCGTCTGCGTCGGGGGCACCCCCCTCTCCTTCTTCCCCCTGGCCTCCAACTGCCGCACGACGGCCTTGAGGATCCTCCCGTCTGGATCAAGGACTGCGCGGACCCTCTCCTCGTCGTCGGGCTGTCCCTGTGGGTCGGGTGCGCCTTGAAAGGCAACGCCAAACACGGGCCTGCGGCCGTCCTCGGCGCGGACGCAGCGGGCGGCGTCTTCCCAGGACGCAAAGCGGAGATGGAGGACGCCGAGGGGGGCGCCGTTTGCGCGGTTGGTCTGCCACTCGAATGCGGAGAGGTGGCCGTAGGTGCGGTAGTGGCTGCGGAGGACGGCGGGGGACGCGAGGGGGGGGAGCGAGGCGAGGACGACGGAGAGCGGCGGGGGCGTGGGGGAGTGGGCGTCGTACTGTCGAGAGTCAGCGCGGACACGCAGGCGGGGCAAGCAGACGCACCTCGTACGCTGTTTCGTGGAGGACCTCCCTGAACGGGCGGGCGAGGGCCAGCTTGGGTGTGCGGTCGCGGCGGGGGTCGCGGGGGACGGGCGGGGGCTCGGGCGGGGCAGACTCGGTGGCGGGCAGCACGTCGCCGTCGATGCGCAGGAGGGCCCTGGTCTTGCCCTTGATGCGCTTTGGGTGGTGCCGCCGGCAGTGCTCGGTCAGCGCGCGGTAGTATTTGACGTCCTTCTTCGGGTCTGCGAGCAGTGCCAGCGCGGCGTGGTTCTGCGCTGCCAGGGCGCTGGGAGCCGCCGGCACGATGCCAGCGCTGTCCTTTTCGGGCCTGGGCGGCGGCACAAAGTCCAGCTGCGGGTCGTACAGCACTTTGTACGTCCGCACAGACGGCGGGTACGCTGACAGCGGCGGCGGCCACGACGGCGGAGTTGGCGGAGTTGGCGGCGGGGGCGGCGGGGGCGTCGGCTGCTCGTTTGGCGGCGGCGGCGGCGGCGGGGGAGGCGTCGGCTCTGGCGGCGGGGGATCGTAATCAGGCGGCGGCGGCGGCGGCGGCGGAGATTCGGCATGAAAGACGTCCGGTCGCTGCAGCACCTTGGTCGGCGGCGCTGGAATCGCAATCGAAATCGCTGCCCGCGTCTCCGTCTCCTCGCGTCGTCGCCGGCTCCCCCCCAGACTCCGTGGCCCCGTCGGTATCCGTTGCTGTTGCTGGCTCGGCCCATACAGCGCTCGAGGGCCCTTGGGCGGCGCCTTGCCTGACATGCGGCCCCGTCCTGGTCGAAAAAAAATCACCGTGATGTGGATGGATCAAGTCCCAACAATTCTCCATTCCCTTTTGATCTCAGCTCTGCTGACACAGCAGCATGGCCCAGCTGGAAGCCGTCACTTGATCCAAACAAGTTGATGCCACAGTTGTCTGCGTCGCACTTGTTCAAATCATCTGTTCCTAGAGAACCTCTTTTGGCGCGTATCCACAGCAGACAACAGCAGCGTCGCACACATGGCATGGGACAGCACCACATCCTTCAATCATCCACGACGTCACTTGGTGCCAGGCGTACTGTGCTCCTCACAATCTCACCCTCTCACGACACCTTACAACCCCAGCAGCATGCCGCAGCACGTTCACTGTCGTCCCGAGGCCACTTGTTCGAATCAAGTTGCTGCCATGGGCCAGTCGTCATGGCTTATGTTCGCTTACACATGCGCCAGTGTACATCCACCTCACACCATCCATCAATTCAAAACCTACACCAAGCAGCATGGCGCAGCTGGAAGCGCGCGGGGCCCATATCACGCCACCCCGAGGTCACTTGATCGAAACAAGTTGCTGCTATCTTTGAATTTTATGATTTTAGTTTTGATTGTCGTTTTAGTATTAGTTTACGGCGCACCGGTGGGGATTATAGAGTAGTTTCTAACTCTGTTTGTACTTTAGTCAACTCTTGCCAGTAAAACAGTACTGCTCAATCCAGATTTAATAGTGCTACGTTTGTTAATTCCTTTGCTTCAGGTTTTCTTCTAAGATATACTACGTACAGCAGCATGACGCAGTCTGGTAACGCACAGCCAGGTTTATATTTACCGCAACACCGAGGCCACTCGTTCGAATCGGGATGCTGCTATTGTGATTGTCATGTCAGAGGTTTTTGTCTCTCGTCTATGATAGTGCTATTTGCTTCTTATTAATTTTAGCTTCAGCGGTTATCAAGGTCACTATCTTTCTGTGGTTTCCAGTGACATAGGACAGTTTGAAGGCTTGGGACTTGGATATATGATATACTTGGTCATGACAGGTTGAATTTTCATCCTAGCTTATTTCAAAGACATCTAAATTAATCTTGTACAAGTATTGATTTCCAGCACAAACTGTCAAATAACATTGTATCAATCCGCACGAAGCCTTTCCTGTCCTGGCTCTCTGCTCATCAACAACTCCTGGCCCCACGCTTCTAGTTCCTCCAATCGCCGTTCATTCGCCTCAACGCAATTCCTTTGCAGGGTTAACATTGTCGATTGAAATCGTTCCTCTCGATCTTCTTGCGCCCTCCGTGCTTGGGCATTTCTTTCCATCTCATCTCGGAGAAAATCCTCTTCTCGTTTACGTTCGTTAGCTTGAAATTCAGATTCACGACGCTCCTGAGCATCCTGGAACTCAGACTCGCGTGATTCCTCAGCCTCGTCAAAGTCTTCCTTGCGTTTCTGTTGAGCTTTCATGAACTCGCCCCCACGTTTGGCCTCGTTGATTGTGTGAATGCGGTTCCGGTCATTTGCACCTTTCTTGAAAGCTTTGGCCCTGAGCTCCTGTGACTCCTCAAACTCTCTGTGCATCCTCCTTTGCTCACCAATCCGTTGAGATGTGTTGCTGTTGGCACTAACTGCAATATGGGGTATGGGAAGTGCATTTTGAACGAAAGCACCTGCTCTGAACAATGCAGATGGCGACTGATCTTATGTTTAGTGTTTCAAGAGAAGATTATAGTGGATGCTGGAACAACTCACAAAACTCACGTCATTGACTATCCTACAAAACTGAAGGCTCCATCTCGCGCTCTCCGACAAGACCGAATGAGATTTTCCCGGAGACGACTCAAACTCGCACACCTTCGGCGAGATAGAGTTGTATTCCCCTAGTGGAACTGCAACGCGTTCAGGACCCTCATGATCCTGATCTTCATACATTGAAAGACGTCCCATAACACGTTCAATAGAATCCAGTAACCAAGTTGACAACATTGCAGCATAGGAAGAGGTGAGTTGACGGTGGTTCGCGTCAGCGAGTTGATTGGCTTGACTTTTGTACAACGCCAATAGCATGCCCTTCTGACGTTCGAACCAAACCTCCTCTAAATCCACCTCTGCCTCGGCTTGTCTTATGATGTGCGACAATGACATGTTGAATACCTGGGAGTATTGTTGCTGGGCAGCCTTGAAGGCAGTTGAACGTCGATTGCTGCCCCTTGATCGTTCTTCTTCTCGACCATGAAATTGCCTCACCCGTGACTCCTTCCATCGCAACGACCTTTGAGACCACTGCAGTATTTTTTGCTCAAAGGTACCACTGCGTTGTGACTCCCTATTATTCCGTGTAGCTTCTGATGCATGAAATCTATGCTCCCTTTCGCTTTCATCTTTTAAGAATGTTTCTTGCCGCTGATTTTGGGAGTGCGTAAAGGATATGTAATGGTTGTTGTCCACGACTTGGTCTGATTCATTAGTGCTCTCCTCAGGATTGCTTTGTTCAATGAGAGAATGAAGGGATTCCTCGTGTTGATCATGGGACTCAGTAGACGTTGACTGTATCGAGAGATCGAAGGGACTTCGAACACTTGAAGAATCAAAACGGTCTCTTAGCAGCACAGGGCTTGTAGGCAGAGTCCGTTCCAATGGAGGTGATTGTGGAGGGTCGACTAAGGAGGGGATATCGTCATCGTCTAGATCCAACGCTGGCTGTATCAATTTATCGGCGACACGAGTTGGAGAAGAGTTCCCACTCGTAGGTACCGACAAAGGAGGTGACGTGGTGAGTATTCGCCAAGGATACACGGGTTCCCTGGATGGAAGGCAAAGAGATGAGTGAAATTGAGTGCAATTTGGGTGACGAACGCTCACACGGCTGCTTGGCTGTTCCTCGGCGCATTGCTTTTCATCAGTCTCTCAAATTGTCCTATTAAGGTAGCATTGAGAGCGGCACATTTGTCTTTCAGTCTCTGACGACCGTCGCCCACCAGCTCCTGTCGCGCTGCATTATACCACTCTGCTCGCTTACCACGCATCTCTTGGTCAATTTCAAAAGCGCGTGCACGGTCTGTCTGTCCCTGAGCAAATATGGCTTCCCGAGCTGCATCAGCTTTTTGAAATCTTTCTTCTTGAAGTGCGTCGGTTTTATAGTACAGTTCTTGTCGTCGTAGTTGATTTTCGAAGAAGATAGCACCCAAGTCTGTTATCATACAGTTGAATTTGTCCTCTCGTGTTTGCTCTCCAGCTGACCGGACCTCCTCCTCTGCTTCAAACTTGTGCTGGAAGTCATGCAGGCTCTCTTGGAAGATGTCACGTTGCGCTTCGGAGAGCGTGTATTCCTTTTCGCGCATTTTGGATGTCTCTAAGGTCACAGGCAGTGTAGGACTAGTCTGGTGAGTCGTTCCTCGAGACAAGAGCTGCCTGCTGACTATCAGTACAAGTTCCACTTGAATTCATCATTATGTAGCTCGTTGGGATACAGACCTTAGGCGTGACATGTTTCCAGGTTGAGTCCGACTCCGTATGAGATGACTTGCAAGTAATGGACGAGCTGATTCAATGATTGATATTCAAGTTGTCCTATTTAATTTCCCAGCTGCGTAACTCTGGGAACTCGTAGCAGCTGTTTCCATGACACAGCAACCGCACTGCTTTTGATGCGATTATCCCAGCAAAACAAGTTGCTGCTAGAGTTATCTTTTGGTCAAATCAAGTTGCTGTCCTGGCCGGCATGGCGCAGCCACTTGTTCAAATCAAGTCGTTGCTATGGCAAGTTATCACGTTCAGTTTTTTGTCACTAGTGCTCGAGGCCACCAACGCAATATCACCATTTATACCATCAACTCTCAACTCCAAATACAGCAGCATGGCGCAGACTGGAAGCGCACCGGGTGATGTGTCCCCGTTGTCACTTGTTCGAATCAAGTTGCTGCTATGATCTGTTCCTAGAGAACCTCTTTTGCCTTGCGCGAGTGCCCTCTTCCATCCTCAGTCTATCGCATACACACACAGCAGATAACAGCAGCGTCGCACACATGGGACGGCACGACATCCTCGTCGATCGTCATCGATCATCCCCGAGGTCACTTGTTCGAATCAAGGTGCTGTTATAATTACCGAAGGTCGGATTTTTTGTGACTTGCCAGTACTCCAGGCGTACTGTGCTCCTCGTATAGACTCACAATCTCACCACTCTGGACTCTCCTCATCCTACCACACAATAGCTTCCAAGCCCAGCAGCATGGCGCAGCACGGCAGCGCACGGGACTTGTATTATCCCAGTGAGAGGTTCATGTACACCAAGTCGTCCCGAGGCCACTTGTTCGAATCAAGTTGCTGTTATGGGCCAGGCATCATGCCGGATTTTTTGTGACTCCCCCAGTCGAGGTAAGCACATCCAACCGACTCGGACTCGGACTCTTGTTCAAATCAACTTACTGTTCCTTATATGCAACTTGCCACGCGTACATGTCCGGTTCTCGCCACTCATTCCATCTCCCGTCTAGTATATATATGCCAGGTGTACATCCACGCTCAATCTCCCACCTTCACACCATGCATCAATCTAAAATAAAACCTACATCAAGCAGCATGGCGCAGCTGGAAGCGCGCGGGGCCCATATGTTTATACTTTGCGACCCCGAGGTCACTTGATCGAAACAAGTTGCTGCTATCATTGAGGTTTATGATTTTGATTTTGATTTTGATTTTTTTTTTTTAATCAATTAAACGTGCTCAGCACATGGTGCCATTGTACATGGTGCTACGGGAGCTATAATAAGGTATTACTGTGATAATACAAGAGCCGTGGAATTCCTAACCCCCCCGCGTACGTGGAGAATGAGCTGGCCGGTTTTCCATGGCCGTTTTAGACCACGCTCCCCTATTACGCCCTTAGAACCTCGTTGGAGGGTATTGTTTAGGTATGTTGGTGCGGCGACGAAGTCCGTTCATGGTGTGAACGGTGGGGGTCAAGCAGCGCAGTCGCGTGCCCAGCCTGGTGGGGAGAGATGTATGTAGTGGGTGGGTAGGGAGTTGAACTGGTGCCGAAATTAGGGGTGGATGATAGGTTTTAATGTCTTTTTCAGGTGGCATGCGGGGTTCGCCTATTGGGGTGGGGCACCGGTGCTCTTGGTGGTCCTGTTTCATGGCTGTTGTCAGTAGTTAGGATTTGGAAGCAGTTTGTGGCATGCAGGAAGCTGAATAGTGGGCTTAAGGTGTCGGCGGATGACAAGAGGAAGGAAAGAGACTCAGCTTTGCATCAAAGTTTGCAGCAGAGGTGCCTGTGCCTTTCAAACTGGCAATGTGGGCAGACTAAGAGGACATGATGTATGGTCTCAACCATGAGGCCGCTGCAGTGTGGGCAAGTTGGGGTCTCTGACTGATGGATCCGGAAGAGGTGGTGGTTCAGGGGAATGTGCTGGGTGCAGAGTTGCATTAGCACCACCGAGTGTTTGCGGTCTAGGGCCTGGATGAGGTGCATATACTTCTTGGATGGTAGGGACTGGTCAATGACATGTATTGCATGGTATTGGGGGGACTTCTGCCATCGCTTCTTCAGATCAAGTGGATGTTCTCGAGGGCTGCCTGTTGGGT